CATACACACGATGACGGTAAACCCGTTGATTTTTCGCACGGCAACGTTTCGTATCGCCACTACCTGCAGTGGCGCGCCCGGGAAATGTCGATGGTTAGGGCACGTGGGCGCGTGACGAACAATACTAGAATCGTAGAATCGTCTTCTCTATCCTACTGTCGACTAGGCACGTGGGAATTGGTAATTCTAAAGCCTATTTATTTAAAAAAATTAAATAAATAAAACCGTTGTCAGTCACTTGCGGACGTTTGGAATGCATTGGGTCGAACCATAATAAAATATCAAATAATAAATGAATAATCAAATTATACAAAATCACAGACATGTTTAATTAGCCCATAATATTACAAAAACAAAAAAGAGATTGTACTTTTTTTTCGCAAAAAACAACAGGTGATATATTTAATAGACACTACGCATAAATTAAACTACAGCATCCCCCATGTGCCAAGCTTGTACATATCACTATTTTATTTTTTTTTTACCAATAAGTATGACTTAGTATTTCCTGATCAATTTTCAAGCATTTCTGTTTGGTCTAACAATTTTATTCACTGAGTGCCTACCTACTCACCAAATAGAAATTACGTGAAAACCTAGCAAAATTTCATCACGCCCAGAAAAAACAAATATACATTTTCTATCGAAATGTCAAATCTCTACGATTATTTTAAATTAAATTACCACAAATAGACAAAATTGAAAATAATAAAACCATTATTTTATATGATGTTCTTATGGTATTTTAATTTCTATGTAATATTTTTTAATATATATTATAGTATTATATAATTATAGCTAATAATCATAGAACTTAAACTAATAAACCGGCCTTGTCTGTAGAGCAGCTGTGGTAGTAACCGATCAGACATATTCTACAGTGGTGTACAGTATAATCACATCGGCGTTGTCATTGTATGTGTATAATAGTGCAATGTACAATAATACCACGTAAAAGTCACAAGTCGCACATGAAAGGCGCGCTCTATCGATGACCGTTCTGCGCGTACAAAAGGCCAGTCTATCAGTATAAGGTCTATGCTAATAATACGATAATAATAATAATGATAACAAAATATTTTTTATTGATTAATATTTTATTGATAGCGCCTATATGCAAAGTAAACATAAAAGGGCACAACCAGTTTACAGTGTTTCCGCCAAAACTTATGTTGCTGTTTTCCATCAATACCCGCGATTCTACTACAGTAAAATTATTACCAATGGCGCAGCCAGGAAAACATTATAACGCCCCGCTACCCACCCCTAAAAAAAAATTGATAATTTTTACGAATATTATATGGAACAGCAGAATAATTTTTACCCAAAGACAATAACATGCAGTCACAGAGTGCTTATGATGAAATTATAAATAAACAGTTCCGACAAAATACTTTCGGATGAATTGTTTTTCCAACAAAATACGGTTCCGAAAAAATGCAGTTCCGACAATATACTTTCCAACAAATTATAGCCCTCTGAAACAGCTGGTATAATTGTTGCGCGATTTGTATAGAATATTGTAGACACATCCTTGAAATTTATAATACGTATAAAATGTACACGTATGCATGTCATCTGATTAGTAATATTTTTATTATTCCAAATACCTGTTTATACACATGTTTCAAATTTATACCCCCTCCACTACGGAAAAATATCAACGATTTGAACGTTTAAATATAAAAAAAGAACTGATACTGGGGACGGGTGCGGCCATTGTTGTAGGTGAGAAGTTAGGGAGGTAGGATACGTAAGGTTATTTCAATTATATCTGTAAGCAGCGATAAACCATTTCTGAAGAAAAAAGATTTAAACCGCAGTTCGGTATTACATAATTTCGGGGTACATAATTTGAAGTACCGTAATTTTTTTTTTAACCTAACCTTTTTTCCCAATTATTATGAAAACTAATTCGAAAATGAAAAAACGACCTGCATCAGTAAAAACGGGATTAATAATTTCAACAAAAAAGGTTTCCAATCATTTTTCAATTAGAGCCATATTTGTGCTAGAAAACGTGGTAGGTACTTATTTAAAATAACGAAATCGTGAAAAAATCGTATTTATTTCCCCGATTGGTCGTTTTTTATTTTGAACACCGTTTTGAAAATCAAAAAATAACCTGAGTATTTATCAACTAGATAAAATTGACTTTCAGAAAAGGTGCAAGACTTATACATCGGGGCAAGTTTTTTAAGATAAAAATGGTCTACAGTATAAAAAAAAAAATAAAGTACCATTGTAAAAAAATTTAAAAAGTCGTCCGATTATTTTGAAAATTTACCACATCTAGGCAAGTCCAATATGAGTTTTATTACCGAGTTTCAAGTCTCTTCATGTATTCATAACCGAGTTAGAGTAAAAAAACTCTTAAAAATTTGAATTCCTTAAAAGATCAAAAGTGGCTCAAAAGTTTTGTCAATGATACCGAAAGAAAGCAAATCAACAAAAAAAGGTCTCTTGTGATTTTTCGATTAAATCATTTTTTCTGGTAGAAAAAGCCGTCCGTGTTTTTATAAAATAATGAAATCGTGAAATTGTACGTTTTCCTACGTTTTTTTCCCACTTAAATGCTTTTATTTAAAAAATGACGTCGAAGAAAGAGAAAAAGCACTCTCGTAGTACAATCTAGACAACTTGCGCTTTCAAAAAAATGGCTACACGTAAAAATCGGAGTAAGTTTACTAGGATAAAACGTGTCCACAGTCTAGAACAAAGACGAAAACGAATAATCAAACGGCATTGTAAAACCAATAAGCTCCCTCTCTACGCTCGGAATCCGAAACTATTGTACCAAATAAAATTGTTATGTGTACACGTACGTGCATTCGTTACTGTCGATGTTTAGAGACCACATTAGACGACACAATCAATCCATTGTTCTTGGACGTCGGTAATGTTATGGGTATTTTGTTTTTTCCGATTTTGATTGGTTTTCGATTTTACAATCGCGCTATAAATACATTCGATATGTTAACCTTTCTTTATAGAAAAAAAAAAAAAAGAGAAAACAACAAACATTAGTATTCGATTAAATGTAAAAATAGTTTTCACGGGATAAACAGCGGAGATTATTAAAACATGTTTTTTTTTTAACCATAAAATTCCATTTAGTCCGGAAATCTAACATGTTTACATTTTCACGATAAGTGGGTACATGATTTGTTTTTATTTTTCTAATGGACGAATTATATTAAGTATTTCGAAAAATAAAACACTCGGCGATAAAGACGACGATATTATATACGACGGTGTTTGTTTTTCATTACAGTGCTAACGCACTCTGCCGACACCCCGTAAAAATACATCATAAACAAAAGTGTATATATATATATAACAATACCTATTATTGGTACCCGCGTATGATTAAAAATAGTTTTTCGATTAGTCATTTTTTGTGGAACACTATACCGTCCACGATTCCGGTCGGATATCGATTGAGAAGCGGTGAAAATGTTTGCGATTACCTATGTACGCGGTTCGGTTCGAAATGAACGGGCGAAATAAAAATTCCGATAAATCCCTCCCTGCTAACAGTGATTATTTGAAAAAAAAAAAAAAAAACGCAAAAGTCAAACGCCCGTGATCGGTACAAAAGCAGCCGAAATGTTTCCGAAATTCGACCGCGTCTGGTTACCGCCGTAGTTATCGGCCGTGGTTTGCCGGCAAATGCGGCCGGACGGGAAAATACCGTTTTCCCCGTAAAACCGCGCGGGGCCGACAGATCCGGAAACGCTGACGCGCAACGTTGCGCGGTAGTGCCGTTGCTGTACGACGAAACGCGACGAAACGCGACAAACCGCGGCGCGCGGCTGCCGAAAAGACGGCGCTCCGTGCGACGCGAAAACGCCGTCACGCGCGACAATAGTAAAACCGGGCCGTCCGACCCGACGGACCGTAACGCGTTGGTTTTTTTTTTTTTTCGCTTTTCACTCTCGGTTTACAGCGTCTAATTGCGGTAGGTCGTCGGGCGAACCGTTGCCGCGCCGCGCCCGTAATAATACGTGCCGAGCGTTCCCGCGACCGGGAAACCGGTAAACAACGACTGCGTACGCGCCCGCTGTTGTAATGGAACCCGACGGCCGGTGTACCGCCGGCGGTAACGTGACGACCATTACGCCGGCGACGCGCGATAATTACTATTTTGAAAGTCGCGTCTCGCGGGGCGGGACGAATAACGAGGACCGTAAAAACGAACGCGATAGGAGGTGGGGGAGGGTGGGGGGAGTGGGGAGGAAACGGGTTTTTTTTTATTCTTTCCTTATGATTATGTGCCCCGTTCGGTACGACGACGAAATGAAAACCGCACGATTTACGCGCGTTTTCCGTTCGTAACAATGACTTTGGAAAAAAACCACCCGACCGGTGCCGCACGAGAGATCGACCGAAATGAATCCCAATTGGATTCGTTTTTTTCCCCCCACGATTATTACTATTGTCGCGCGTGTATCGTTTCGGTATCGTTGGAATGTATTCGGTTTTTTGTACGTCCGGAATCGTTAATCGAAATAGGTTTACAATTTATCACACGCTTACGCAGGGACTACGTACGGAACTCGCTTAGTTTTGGTTTTATAGTAAAAGCGTCACGACCTATTATGAAATTAACGGAGAACAACATTCCGGAGGGCAAGATTTTGCGTTTTTTTTTTTTTAAGTTTTAGCGAATTAAAAAAAAAAAAAAAAAAAAACGTTGAAAAAGCCGTTATTTATAAACGGTAAATTGACTGTTATATCCGGGGAAAACTGACGCAACGTCTTGCCCTCCGGAATATTGTTTTATATTCATTTTAAAATAGGTGTTTTTACTCTAAAACCAATATTAAATGAGTTCTGTGTAGCCTGCGTAAGCATGTTTTAAATATACCGTGCGTTTGTAAGACTGAGACAATAAATGCACGTGTACCGTTCTTTTCAAGGATAGACCATATTTTTCTATGCATTTTGATATAATATGCATAATATAAAGGCAGTGGCCATTAGACTCAAGATTAATATTAACTTTGGAAGGTTAAATTTATTGCGCACTTATATTATTTAAATGTTCAAGAACAAAAAATATTTTAATAAATAACATTCTGTTAATGCATATATAATTAATAATATATATATAAGATAAACACAAAGCCGAATAATAGTTATTATTTATAAATATTTTTTAGAATAAGTAAAACTACGTAAGAAATACTATAACTAAAATACACGAACAAAATTTAAATTTATTCTAATAAAAGTTGATTTTCAGGCACGTGATTCAAGAATTGTTGAATTAAATCCTTAATTAATATGGCAAATTTTTCTTCGATGTTTGTTTGTAATTGAACTAAAATCTCAGTCCAATTTTCATTTAGAAATACATTCATATTGTCTCCTGTAATATGAACAAATGAGGAACAATTAAAATATAACACTTGAAAACACCTCACTATAACTTATTATGACGAATCAAATGGAAAATTTGATTTTTTGTCTAATTGTTTTAGATTCTGAAGCCTAAGCGGAGCCAGTAATGCAATAGTATTACAATGATATTTATTTTTTTTTTTTGTAAACAACTTTTCTTTAAGGAATTTTGCTCCGAATTTCAATCGTAGCACTTTTTCTGAAAGTAAATTTGACTTGAGTGGTACTTTAAGGAGTTTTTGACTTTCCCAAGAGTTTTCCCAATAAATGGGAAAAATGGGAAAATGTGTACGAAGTGTATTATATTCAAATCGTAAATATTACGGCCTTTCTAAACATGTATAACCTAACTCCACTCAAAGTCGTTTTTCGACAACAATGATAAATCGTTGTATACAGATATACATTAAATTTCCCCTCTAACTTCTCAACTTCTCACCTACAACAGTGGCCCAGCCATTGTGCGAAGTATGCCCGTTTGTTTTTATATTATGAACAATTTATATTATATTACTGTACATTAGTTACTTAATTTGTGTACAGTATTATTCGTTTTTAACTTATTTTTGTGTAGTAAAACAAAATATCATGAAATACACAAGAAAAACATCTATTGCTCATTTAATACTAAAAAGAGGTTTAAAAAAAGTACTGATACTGCTGACGAGTGTGCCACAGTTGTAGAGATAATATTATTTATATTTGAACTCACCGATAAATCATATACGTTTCACTGGCCCCCATTTTGGATTTTTGTCATTTTGGGTTTTTCATCATTTGTTTGTAAACGTGTAATATATTTCAGAATTTGTTTGACCTTGTTACGGCCTACAATAAATTCTCTAGCCCCCGGAATTATTGAAAATAAATAAACATTATCGCTTAATACGTCATTTGTTTCACATATTTCAAAATATTTTTAGACTTTCTACTGCTATGACATAACCGAAACATAGAACGGAAGGTCCGAAAGATCGGTTATTGGAAAATCTATGAAATGTGTCTTACACATTTTTTAACAAAATAATAAACCCAAAAGTATCGTCACATGCTGCATATATATTCTAGAGGTTTTAGAAGAGGATTTAAATACTTCAATTTTGTTTCTGAACTATGAGTGTTTGTAGAAATCTTAATTCAATTTTAAATGTAATTACGTCAAGAAAAAGTTGACACAAAATATATTCTATAAAAAGTCTTAAATCGTTACGATTATTTTTCAATTAGCAGAAGTAACTGGAGTCCAAGTGTCCCACTATAATATTAAATGAATATGGTTCTGCTTCGGTATTGAGGTGGGCTTCTGATTATCCGGGGGGTTAAGCTCCTAAACTCCTCCCCTAATTGTACCACTGAGGATAAAATACCCCTGATATGTATTGCTTGCGGGACAGCATAGCTTTGCCCGTGTACAGTGTTGAACTTAAAACAATTTTATAAAGACGTCTTAGGATAATAGAGATAAGTGCAGCCACTATTAGGTAATTTAATGTATACCTGTAAGCAACGATAAACCATTACTAACGAAAAATCGATTCTGAGCGGAATTCAGTAGATAGTGATGCTTTGTCAACAATATATATGTTATATTATGGAACATAATTAAATAATTATAATTAATTATATATTTTCTTTAATAATATTTATTTTATGTACCGATTTTCCAGTTTTTTCGGTTTTTAACTTTTATTAAGGAAACTTTTGGAAAAATCAAAAACTACCTCTTAAAGTACTTTACTTAAAGTTAGATTTCCTTTTAGAAAAATTGTTATCATTGGAGCATTCTGGTAAAAAAGTTACTTACAGAAAAATAAATAAACATATTTTAAAACCATAAGCTGTTTCACTCCACTCAGAATCTAAAATAAAAACGTATTTGCCCGTTTCCACTCACATTCCTTTCAAAATGAACCTCACGTTGTTGCCCGTTAACTGTTTTTTCATCTACGTCGACAAGATTTTATCATCAGTTAAGCTAATTTATGTTCGTATCTACCAAAAATATCAAAAACCCTTCGTTGGCTGTCATTTAAACTCAAAAAGATAGTAAGTAAATATAGAGGTTAAATTTCGAAAATTCTGTTTCTAGATTTACACACAGGCCCATTTAATCATTATATTGGTGGACATTTTCAGACCTAAGCGTACTATACGAGACTTGTCTGTACATCGCGTATAAGCAAACTAGTAGACAGATTGATACAAATTAAAAATAAAAAGGACGGATATACTTCGCACGTGGGTGCATCCACTATTGTAGGTGGGAAGTTGGGAAGGTAGGACAAAGATGGGAATTTAATGTATATCTGTAAACAATGATAAACCATTGCTTACAAAAAACCAATTCTGAGCGGAGTTTAGTTGATAGTGTTGCAACAATACAATATATGATATATATTATATTATGGTAAAATGTTTACAACAATGTGCGTTTCCATGACAACAATGATAGTTTAAAAAATAAAAAAAATAAAAACTTAATAATACCAAAAAATAAATACTAACGGTTGCCGAAGACAACCTTATTTTTAATCTTTCAATTTTTTTTAACCTAAAGAACCAGATTTTCCACATTATCTCGAATATTAATGAGAATTTCAAAAAAATGACTTCTTTAAAGTACCACCCAGAGAACATTACCTTTCAGAAAAGGTGCTTTACTTGATAATCGGAGTAAGCTTTCTAATAGAAAAAATGTTCACATAAAAAAAAAATAAACATCATTTTAAAACCAATACATTCCTCGCTCAGCTCAGAATCTAAAATGTTATGGTGTCTAAGCCTTTCCTAGCCCCACACAAATTCTTCATTTATGTGTGACTCATAAATCTTTTAATTTTAATTTTTATGTTTAGCATACCCAACTCTTTGTTTCCATTAAATAAATTCGTCAGCTCTGTACGGATATGTTTAATAGTAAATGCCAATTTTAAATTTTCAACCTTCAAATATGTGTTTCCTTTTTTGGCCACCGGTTTTAGGAGCATATTAACATTGATTTTCGTTAAATCTGTATAAAATAAATTCATTACTATAGTTTATCTACTTATACGCTACGTAACGCTTGCACGTATTCAAGTTTTTAATATATTCTTACCAAAGTCGTACGTAAATTTGCCATTTCCCATAATCGGAAGAATCATAATTTTCCCGTTTATATTGTAATCTCCCGTGATTATTACATGGTTCGGAATTCGTAGCTCAACGCTGAGATCATAATTTACAGGATCATAGCTTTAAAATAATCAAATTGCAAGTATATAAATATATTTGGTACGCATAATAGGCGCCCGTAGACATTTTTTTAGGGAGGGAGGCAATGTTAGGATTTCAGGAGAAATATTATATTTTTACTATTTTAAAACAACAACCTTTTTATTGTACTCGTATGTATATTTTATTGACTTACAACTTACAAGTATAGGTGTATAGGTAAAGTTAAAGTTAACTTTGTTGATTCTCAAAAACAAATTGTAATCGTCTCGCATGTCTTCGAAACGATCAACAATTTCACTATAAAATTTGTCATTTCAAATTAGGTCATTTACCATAAATTTATGTACATTCATCATGCATAAAGCATCGAGTCAGTCATGGTAGAGCGTAACCAGGTTTCAACCCACCGCAACGTGCTGAAGAGCCGCTCGGCAGTACAAGTAGTTGTCGGGATGTTAAGGCAAATTGCTTAAAATACTGACGGGCAAAATATTTTTGATTCTTTCAGTAGATCCAATACATCTATATAGGCGATCTACATTGATGTTCATTATATATTCTGGTAATAATTGAAAAATAGAATAAGGTACTTTATTTTCTTCTGATAATCATTCTTTAAAGGATTAATGAAACAAGATATCGAACAATTATCGTTCCATTATTTTCGTTTACTTCTGTATGTTCGGATTCTAGTTCTAAACGAGGTTTTTTAAAGTGTCTTCTCGAATCCATTTTCTAACGAATTCGGATAACCGTTAAATTAGTCTCCATAATTACTTAAGTCTACACAATGATACAATATTGTACGGGTAAACACTAATCAGTGATCATTTAACACGAACCTGTTCGGCGGGGCCCATTATCTTTTTGAAGAAATATACGATAATAATAACAATAATAGAATTAGATGAGTAGATATTATACGATTGAGAATATTATGTAGGAAACTATATAAAGGCCTGATTAAAAAATAAATTGATTAATCGGCTGCCAATAATCTAATCAAATGTTTTAATAATGGTGAGATGGTGATCTATTATTCATATAATCATATAACCGCTTTTACTTTGTTATGTATAAATATATTAAACAGTTATAGTAATTTATCTTAAACATTTAATTTAAAAAAAAAATTACCGAAAGGCCAGGAGAAGGGGGGCAAATGCCCCAGCGTTATTTTATAAGTATGTTATAAAATCAATGCTACTATAAATACTTACTGTACGTTATCTATTATTGTAGTTTTCAGGTTAGATATAGTCGAATTCATATATTTGACGTAAATGTTCATTGATTCAGTTTTTTGTTCCACATTTAATAACGGAATCATAAACGAGTCTAATTCGATTAAACCTAAACTCGGATCACCTACACAAACACAAGTTGTATTTTTAAAGTTTTTAATATTATTACAATAAATTCAAATAAATATCGGATTTGTCACACCGAAAACTACCCTCGTGTGTTAATAGAAAACTAGAAACTAAAGTATTCGGAGTTTGTTCTTACCTTTTCCCAAATAAGAAAGACCACTTTGAAATGCGCCTTTTAGACATTCGTCGAGAGCAGGATCGCTTTTTCTACACTGTACGAAATCTTTTGCTGTCAACAACAATAAATTACAATATTTTAATCATTTTTATATTATTATCAATTCATAAAATATGTTTTTTTTTATATTTAGACAATTATAAATTTATACAATCTATTCACATTATAGTATACCACCATGAGCATATTGCTGTAATAAGCAACCACAAAAATGCTTATGATGATAAGCATTTTTCGAATAATAGTTATTATACAAAATACAGTTCCGATAAAATACGGTTTCTCAAAAATATTGTCTTAACATTTTACGCGCCCTCGTCTAAAATATTCAAACAAACGAATGCTATGCTTACGCAACTCTATAGACGAAACCATATTTATGATAACTGCAGCGACAATAACATAGTGTAATATTTTAGTAAAGTTGATCATGATAAAAATAATATTTTTGACTACGATAAATTTGACTAGATCTCAGCAAAGTTTAAACCCGAGAACGTTTTAACTGTGCGTACGATATCTTAATTCTAAATAACAAAAAATTCTGAAGTAAATAATAAGATTGCTTCTCTTTTATAATACAGTTATGGTTCTGCCCCTAATGAATTATTCAACATTTATATGAACTCAGCATAATCTAATTTTTTGTTATTTTAGCAAATATAATTTACCAAATAAAGATTTTATGACCCACAATAAACTAACACGTAAATAATATTTAAACAAGGTTTAAAACAATTATTCTAAACTGAAGGTTAAATTTAAAAAAACTACTAATTAGTGATTATTTATTTATTTAATCAAACTTTGACGAAAATCGTAAATATGACCTCCAATATTATATGACCTTTCAAAAGTTTAATCGTTGCGTACAGACATACATTAGGTTTCCCTCTATGCCCTATACCTTTCCGAATTCTCACATACAACAGTGGCCTACCTATCGTGCAAAGTAATGACGAAAAAAAATTCGAGAGGGGGGGAGAGCCTTAATTATTATTAATATTCCAAACCCTTTTATTAATGTATTATGTGTATTTTTAAAACAATTTAAAGGTGTTATAATATAATATTAAATTTTACACATATAGTAACTAACTACACAAATTGTAATTTTGTTTTATTTTTCTAAAATTCATCAATACATTTTTCTGCTGAATTAAGTTCTTCGACTTTTTTCCTATGCAAATATAATTTGACATACATAATCCGGATAAACGATTTTCACACATTAGATAACCGCAAGTCAGCTGTCCACAATAAATTTCCACAAATGACTACATGTGTAGTGGTTGTTACCAACTTCAAATCATAGGGTATAAATCATTGTATATTGTGATAATAAATTAGCGGGATTCTATTATCACGAAGTATACCTACCGACTCAGATACCAATCAATTACCAATTATCAATTGATAATAAATCGTATTACCAATAATGAATTTTGGGATTTTGAGACATTAAATTTCGGTTTAGTTATTTTAATTTGTTGGAAACCTAGGGGAGGAGTTTGTCCTCCCATGCCCTTGGTGCGAAGTATGACGTTCGTATTTTTATTATTATAACACTGACGTCAATGTGAAATAATTTTTAATTCTACATAATATGATGGTATGAATTATAAATTATATTAATTGTTCAAGATATTCATAAGCATAAGACATAAAAAATTTCTAGACATGTTATTAATTTTCAAGAATTTGAATTAGTCTTAATACACATTTTATAGACAACATCCGATTCTTTCAAAAAATTAGAAATTTATATGATTGCATTACTGCTTGTACTATTTTAAACAAATAAGTACTTTTTTGATGTACGTTTTAATGTAAATCTTATTATTTTATTTAAACAATTAAGCCAATATAAAACAATCGCGTAACATAAATAGCCATAATATTAAATGTTTACAGTTTATGTTTTCTACAAGAAATATTGTGCCAATCAAAAAATAACAAAATACATTTTTTGTTGAATCTTGAATCTAATTGATGAGTAAGATAGTCGTTTTTTAATTTTTCTACTAAAACTATAACAACTGGGAAAAAAAATAAAAAAATAAAATTGGGATTTGGGAACATTTAAGTCTTTAATGGTATTGTTACTTTTGATTTTTAATCATTTTAATTGATTAAGGCATATTATTGTAACTATGGTAATTATTATTGTTATTTAATTATGGATTCAAATGAATTAATATAATAATATAATATATAATAAAACAATTCCAAAATATTTTATATTTTTCACAAGGTATCTATAATCAATACAATTCATACAATTAATGTATTTTGGTATAGTTTGTTTTAAATAATTGCTTGACCCGTGATCGAGGTCCACTAAAAATATTATTATTATTTGTTAGCAATGATTAATTGTTGTTAGCAATGGTTTATTGTTGTTTACAGGTATAAATCAAATAACTTTATGTATTCTAACTTCTCAAATTATTGTTATTCATTTTCTGTGCATCTTAAATATTATTAAAATTTTAATTATAATAATATAACAGTAGTAAGTTATCACGGAGCTATTTTAGCTTTGAGCCACGCGAGAAATTTATTGGTATTGTAATGTATTGTATTTAGTTTTGGTTATGTTTTATCAGATTAAATTTTGACAAAAATCTTACAAATTACGGCATTTTAAAACACGTGTAATCGAACTTCGCTCAAAATCGTTTCTCGTCAGCGTTATTTTATCGTAATTGCTACTATAGTGATAATATAGTCAACCTAGAAAAAAGCTAAATAGAGCCCTCACAAATTGTCTCCCTTTTTAGTTATGTTAATATTATTGTCATTTAATTTCGATCTGAATGCCAAAATGTTTGTTCTGAGTAATGTGATTTCGCTATGTCGTTAAATAAGACGGAAACGATACAAACATGGGTATAATAACCACAGTGAACAACCTGACCAAAATATTGAAGATGTACCCACATGTTTAAATATTATTTATGTATAATATATTCTTTGTAATAATTACGACTGGCATACAGCTATGTGTCATAGTCCACCCAGTTTCTTATATATTATAAATTTAAAATTTTTGATTTTCGCCAACCTATTAACGAGATATTCCACTTTTAAGTTTTGTTCGGGGAACAGTAGCGGAGTATTAATTGTGTGACCGCATGGCTCGTGGCGTTTTATTAGTGTTCCATTACTCTCCCCCTACCTAAACTTAAAAGTGAAATATCACGTCAACGAGTTGACGGAAATCAAAAATGTTGACACCAAAATTTATTTAAAGTAATACTACGTCTATTTATGGAATTTTATTATAGATTCTCATTTGAAACACCAAAGTTGGTATCCTCACAGGATATTCATTAAATGTTGAGAAAAATCTAATATTTGAAAGTATTTGAAAATATCGGTTTTAACTATACATAAAAATTTCAAAAATCAGAATTTTAATATATGCAAAATTTAACCGAAAAATGGGGCGAGCACGCTTAGTGAATCGTCCTGTATATACAGTTTGGTTTTTTTTTATCATAAACTAGCAATTCCCTCGGTAGATTTTAAATGAATTTGATTTCTGTTTTTTTTTTTTAATCCTTGTGGAATCGTTTAAGCTTTATTTTTAAACCATTTTTAATTTTTTACCCCTATTCTTAAGGTATACCTTAAATAGTTGTATGTATCTTTGTTTTTTAAATAGGAACCCCTGATCCTATTTTGGATACAGATTCGAATAAAAAATATTTTTCTGGAAATTTCGATATTCATTTAAAATCCTCCAAGATAATTGCTGGTTCATGATAAAAAATAGTCACTCTGTATATATCTGTCGCTTATAAAGAGATGGTTTCAAAAATATTGATCATACAGTCATTATAGTAAAAAACCGCAAAGAATAAAAATAAAAGTTTTTCACAATAAACGTTCAAATAAAGGCTATGTCTGTTCTTTTCGTTTATTTGAAATCTCACCGTTTAACTGGATCACGCTGTATTATCGTGCCTATGGAAATCGCATAGAGGCAGCCAAACATACAAGAATGTATATACTAAAATATGTCCAGCGATGCCCAAAAATTGCCTAAAACCGAATAGTTATTCACCGTGTTAATCTTATTTTATTTTGAATGGGTCAAAAAAACCGTATGGAAACTAGTACATGAAGTATAAGTATTAATTTAAACACTGTTAAAAGAAACAATATTTAAAATATGAACAAGAGAGAAAAAACAATTTTAAATTTAATCCTAATAATAACATAAAAATCAAATTTTTACTATATTTAAACCCAAATATACATTTTGTTTAAAAATAATCAAGTGACACGGAAAAAAAATCTACTGGATCAGCGATAATATTATTTAATGAAAGAGCTTTAGAGAGAAAAGATGTGGAACTGTAGTTGTTTTTATAAAATGGTACATGAAACAATATAGATTTTCTTAAAGAGCGAATTTATTTCATTATTTTATTTTTATTTATTTATTTCACCAACGATAAATAATATTTAACAATAAAAAATAAATAATATAAAATAAACATATAAATGATACTCCTCCAATAAACGTAGATCAAGTATATACTGTACAGACTTAAATACAAATATTTTAGTTTTTAAATGGGTAAGAACTAAGGATTTGTATTGTATTATATTATGCTTGTCTCTCGTTCGACGTACATTGATAATAACAATGAAAATTGTCTAAACTAAAACGAAAAATTGTTTAACAATATATGAAAATAATATACAATTGCCATTAGTTAGGTAGAAAATTAAACAAACTGAATACAGTAGTAATATTAATTGTTAAAATGTAAAGCGAACAAAATATGCGCCCATATCAACCACGACGAGCTTAAATCACAAATTTGACGTATTTTAAAGTTATGCAAAATAATGGTTCAAAATTACATAAAATTATAATATTAATAATATATAAAAACATTAAAACTGTTGTTATTATTATATTAAAAATTAGCGTTTTTGTTTTCAAGAAAGATATAAAAGATATAAAGATTAAATAGATAAATTAGTTATCTTTCCTGTAAACATTTAATATTATATAATAAAATATAAATCAGAAAAATCTACACATAAACTTCTTAAATATTTTATTTGCTTCTATTCCTTTCATCATCCACGTAAGTATTTTTAATTGCTATACACATAATACTATTTTATATATATTTCACAAATACTATGATTAATTACTTATTTTTACTCATACACAATCAATTAAACGTGTACTTAAAAATGCATTTTATAATCAATTAATTGTAGTTTATAGGTTACCGAACCCGAATGATTATAATAATATTGTTATTTTCTTGGCATTATTTCATATTCGAGTTGCCACGTTTTATAATTGTTAACGAATTGTATCGTTTTTAGTTTTACCTATGCATATAATATATACAATGTATAATAAAACGGTAAATTTCACTGAAATTTTTTTGAGACACTTTTTGTAGTAAATCGTTTTGACAATGATAAAGATCCTAATCAATTTGTGTATATTAAAAATGTTAAAAAATAAATATAAAAATCAAAAAACAACCCCTTTTTTAAAAATTTAACCCCTTTGAGGCACGTGAAGGGGTTGACG